AGACGGTCCCGCGCCCAGGCCCGCCAAGACGTTTATCGTTATTTAGAGAGAATTATAGCCTAGGCGAAGCAGCTTTATCTTTATTATATGTCATGATATTGGGGGGTCCATGATAAGATTTCGAAAGTAATTGCCCTAGATTTTTGCAGGCGTTGCAAATTGTTTTTAATTTGCATATTTTCTGGGATATCATTTAGGGTTCGCTGGTTGAGCTGGTTTCATTATGTCTAGTCCCTCCATTTCCCAGTTTTTCTATGATTATAAATGGTTAGTTTTTTATGAGTATCTACCCTTTATTGTTTCGAATTTTCATTCTCATTTTCTTTCCATGCAATCTTTTTATCTTACTTAATTTCTTTATTTCTCTCCTCTCTCTCTCTCTCTCTCTCTCTCTCTCTCTCTCTCTCTCTCTCTCTCTCTCTCTCTCTCTCTCTCTCTCTCTCTATATATATATATATATATATATATATATATATATATATATATATATATATATATATATATATATATATATATATATATATATGTATATATATACACATACATATATATATATATATATATACATATATATATATATATATATATATATATATATATATATATATATATATATATATATATATATATATATATGTATATATATATATATATATATATATATATATATATATATATCTGTCTATCTATCTATCTATATGTCTATCAATTTATCTATCTATCTCCTTCCCCCTTTCCCCACCTCTCTCTCTCTCTCTCTCTCTCTCTCTCTCTCTCTCTCTCTCTCTCTCTCTCTCTCTCTCTCTCTCTCTCTCTCTCTCTCTCTCTCTCTCTCACTATCTATCTATCTATCTATCTATCTATCTATCTATATATATATATATATATATATATATATATATATATATATATATATATATATATATATATATATATATATATATCTGCCTCTCACTCATCAACATATACAAACACACGCAACGGAGTTTCACTCCGCTGGCTAACTGGAGCATTATATACTTCAAGCGATAAAAGCAGAAACAAAGAAAGAGGAAATTGCTTTATTATTTCGCTTCCGTGAAATGTGCAAGTTTCCTGAGATAACTTCATTCGGCGAGGTTGATAATTAGTATGACAGCATGACAAACGCAACATCATCATTATCGTCGGCGTTGCATGCGATCTTCATGCGGGCAGACATGATTTTGCTGGAGGCGCTGATTAGCTGTCTCTAACAAGTTCGAATCTCTCTCTCTCTCTCTCTCTCTCTCTCTCTCTCTCTCTCTCTCTCTCTCTCTCTCTCTCTCTCTCTCTCTCTCTCTCTCTCTCTCTCTCTCTCTCTCTCTCTCTCTCTCTCTCTTTCTCCCTCTCTCTCTCTCTCTCTCTCTCTTCTCTATGTCTATCTCTTCTCTATGCATATATATATATATATATATATATATATATATATATATATATATATATATATATATATATATATATATATACATATATATGTATATATGTATGTATGTATGAAAGCATGTGAACATGAGACATATGATGCCAATCACCTGAATTACCAACTGGAAAAGGCGTGAAGGCCACAGAAGACGATGTGCACGAATTATGCAAGTACTGATAAAAGGCGAAAAAAGTACACGGGGATTACCAAGATGTTTTGATAGGTACAGCCCTAAGTACAAAAGCCGGTGCGAAGGTCTGGAGAGGTCTGAGATTAAGGCACAGATAGCGAGACATGCATAAGCAAGGATACAAATAGAGGTTGACCGATACGTGCAGGATAAGGTTAATCCTAAATTATAACTTGCAAAATGAACTTGAGGAGAATTTATATATTTTTTTTTTAAAGAATGGCATAAAAGCGAGGTCTTGAGGTCTGTTTCTTTGTAAAATAACAGAGGAAAAGGACACTAAAACTTTAATGACAAAGGGGAGTTGACTGTTGCACCAACAGACTTTCGTTGAAGATAATATTCCTCTGGGAGAGCAAGGGGGGGTGGGGGAGGGGGAGAGGATGCTGGAGAGGGATTTATGTGCGAAGGAGATAAGGAGCGGTCGGTGCGAGGCTTCAAGGCCGACAGCTATACAAGGGGGAAGGGAGGGAAGGGGGAGGGGGAGGGGGCGAGATGGAGTCAAATTGCGGGATCGTCCCACCTTGCCATACCCCCCCCCAACCCCACCCATGCCTCTACCAAGCACCCTTCCCCCTCTTTTCTGTCTTTTTTATCTCTACGATATCAGTATCCGAAGGATGCATGTATACAATCCTGGGCGCGTGCTTGTATGTAATATGATATAAACAAACTGTATTATGATATAAACAAGCTCACACGCAGGCAAATATACCTGTGTGTGTGTGTGTGTGAGTGTGTGTGTGTGTGTGTGTGTGTGAGTGTGTGTGTGTGTGTGTGTGTGTGAGTGTGTGTGTGTGTGTGTGTGTGAGTGTGTGTGTGAGTGTGTGTGTGTGTGTGTGTGTGTGTGTGTATGTGTGTGTGTG